GGCAGCTCCGGGACAGTTTTGAAAACCATTTCAGAGTCATGTTCTTAAATGTGACTTTATGACTTAACTGACCACGACATTGCATGCACGTAGTTTATTCGTGATTTGATATGAAAGGCTACAGGCTACAACGCGCCGGTGTTCTGACAAATAATGCTACCTATCAGATTATGCTACCAAACACTATATTTATCCTACTGTAAGGGTAGGTTTAGGGTTGGGGTAGGTGTACAGTCGTGGCCAAAAGTATTAGCAGTGACATAAATTTTGTGTTTTGCAAAATTTGCTGCTTAAGTTGTTGTGATGTTCATTCACATTGTTTCTACAAGTATTGGCAGTGACATCTAGAAACAATGTGAATGAACACCACAACAACTTAAAAAAATTAATCGCCTGCGTTAACGCGCTAATTTTGACGCCACTAATAGCAACCAAAACCTGTCGAAATGACATACCTGTCGCTGTCGAATGATAACATGCTGTGTTTAAAACAGTTCTAATGCTGTATTAGGTGGAACAAATTAGTATGAGGAAGTGATAGACACTTTGATACTTTCACTTAAGAACAACTGATATGATACGATATTGATATGACTGATATGACAAGATTTTTAAATGTTTTTGAAAGATATATCAACGTTATGCTCAACAAGGCTGAATTTATGTGATTAAAAGTGCAGTAAAACAGAATTGTGAAATATTATTACAATTTAAAATAACTGTTTTCTATTTTAATATATTTTAAATTGCAAGTTATTTCTTTGATGGCAAAGCTTAATTTTCCGCATCATTGCTCCAGTCTTCAGTGTCACATGATCTTTCAGAAATTATTCTAATATGCTGATTTGGCGCTCAAGCAATAATAATAAGAACCATCATTAGTATTTGACCACCAGTAATAATGGATTATAATTTAGCACCAAATCAGCATATTCGAATGATTTCTAAAGGAAGACTGGAGTAACGACTGCTGAGAATTCAGCTTTGCCATCACAGGAATAAATTACATTTTAAAATACATTAGACTCTACAACAGTTCTTGTAATAACATGACTGTTTTTGTAGTATTTTTCAAATAAATGCAGCCTTGGTGAACATAAGAGACTTTTTTCAAACACATTACATATTTATATTTGACATTGATTTACAGTGACTGACATTAAACCACATAAGGCTATAAATGTGCTCCGTTTTGGATGGGAAATGAAATATCTGAATTGTTTAACTTGACTGAGGACAATGACGGATTTAAATAAAATCCTTTCCAATTTGCCTCAATATACCCTACAGTGACTCATAAGGTCAAAGGGATTTGTTAGAAGCTCTTCTGGCAGAAGTGGGACTCACTTGACAGATAAACGTGGACTACTCCACTTGAGGCCTGAATAAGATTGCTTTTGATCCAGGAGTCACTGCAGATCTCTGGAAATGAGACAAGACTGATGAACACCATTCCTGTTTTACCTTGAAGGGATGTTTTAATGCTCCTTCAACCGTAATTCTTGATGTCTCTCAAACTAGTGAGGAAAACCTCACTCAAGATCGATTCGCATCTCAGGAACTATAAGATTAAATACATGTAGGCCAGTTTTCCGCTGTTATAGCCATGCACGGCAAAGTGGCTGAGCTTCTAAAGACAGCAGCCTGCTATGTCATTGTGCTCTGTTCCTATGGGTTTATTTTAAAATGCTTTCTACCCTGTTTTCCCTTCTATTCAGGTTTTTGCTGAAAAAAACCCTCGTCACAAGGGTTTTTTTCAGCAAAAACCTGGATAATTGTTTGCACTAATGTAGTTTAGTTCAGACAGGTTAAACAACAAAATACTAAGATAAAATGAACCACATCAAAGGGCTCAAAATAGTTGGGTTTTAATCAGATATATATATATGAATATCTGTGTAGCCTAAATGAGTATTCTTAAAGGAATAGTTCCTCCAAAAATGATTTGAGGTTTTGACCTGCATGGCAAATATGACTATTTCTCTAAATGTAATCAATTTCTGAATAACGAAGAATAAAGATGTCAGACGTTTCATAACTATTATGATAAAGTCTCCGAAATATGGATCATTATGGTAAATTTATGCTATAGTTCTGTTTAGTTTAATTATGCCTATTAATGTTTAGGGCTGTTTAGGTTTTTACTGTGCGAAACCTGACCTTTGGAGGTGTTGATATTCATATCGTAAGATATACAGATTGTGGCCTTTGCATCTGCTTATGATTTTTCATATGGATTTTCAATATCAGCCGCTGTTTCCAGAACAGTTTCTTTTTTCATAGTTAAACTCATGGGGGATCACACATGAAATATATAACATAAAAAATAATAAAATTAAGGTATTTATCTTTTTATTATTTTTTATATAAGCAAAAAGAGCTGATTAACTAAAAATAAAAAAAATTAAAACTCCCCATTTACAATTTTATTAATTTTCATGACTTTCCCATGCCTGGAAACCATAATGTTTCCACATTGTTTCCAAGCTTTCCATAACCGTGGTATCCCTGAAAGAGGCTTCAGCTTCATGTATTCAGATTATGCACTTTTCATATTATGGTTTATCAATGATGAAACTGGAGAGATATGGTATAAGAGGAAAAGCCTATACTTGGATAAAAAGTTACCTCGATGACAGATATCAATTTGTACAAATAAATAATGTTAAATCAGATGTAATGAAAGTCACTTGTGGTGTTCCGCAAGGTTCGGTGTTAGGCCCCAAATTGTTTGTACTGTACATAAATGATATTTGTAAAGTGTCTAAAGTATTAAAAATGGTTTTGTTTGCTGATGATACAAATGTATATTGTTCGGGGAAAAACTTGGAACAGCTTCTGAATACAGTGGAAATCGAACTCATGATTTTTAAAAAATGGTTCGATGATAATAGACTTTCACTGAATTTAAGTAAAACTAAATTTATAATATTTAGTAATCGACAAAGTAACAATAAAATTAAATTAAGGATTAACAATGAGGAAATAGAAAGAGTGTATGAAAATAAATTTTTGGGCGTTATAATTGATCATAAATTATGTTGGAAACCACACATTAACTATGTAAAAACAAAAATGTCCAAATCCATTGCAATATTAAATAGAATAAAACATATTTTGAACGAAAAAACTTTATATATATTGTATTGTGCGCTCATAGTTCCATACATTACTTATTGTGTGGAGGTGTGGGGTCATACTTATAAAACCAATATAAATTCAATATATATTTTACAAAAGAAAGCACTTAGGATTGTTAAAAGGGTTGATTATTACAAACCAACAAACAAATTGTTTATTAATTTACATGCTTTAAAATTTGTCGATTTAGTTGTCACTCTGCAAAGTCAAGAAAATGTATAAAAATAAGGTGTTAAATAATTATATGACTCAGTATCAATAATTGTGAATGTAATGTTACAATATTTAAGTAATAGCTGGAATGTGTATTTTTTGTTATGTTGTTCTGAATTATGTATGTACATTTGGGGTAATGTTTTTGTAACATGTTTGTCTTGTATTTTTTAATGAAAAGTGTCGCTCATCAGTTAACTGTGTATAAAGGGTAGGCATAATAAGCAAGGCTTCAGCCTACACCTTTTTCGGTAATTATGTTTATTTATTTATTTATTTTGTGAAAAGTTGTCTGTTAGGACCGAAATAAAATGATTGATTGATTGATTGATAGTTGCATACGAGTCTTCTTGTCGCTCTTTATTTACGGAGGACAAATTCACGCCCAGCTGGCATTAGGAGGAGGAGCAGATGACACCGTACTACGGTGGCAGAGAAGTGCAAAACAAATCACAATTCTGAAAACAAAATAACAAATTACAAACGCAAATGCAAGTCTAAAAAACAAAATAACAATTCAGAAAACACAACAACAATTCAGACGAGACATCTGTCAATCAACATATACAGGGAAGAACCAGCCGAAGAACAGCAGAGTCGTGGTAGAAAGTTCGGAGATGGTATTAAAGTAGCTCAGTTTAAATGTATTGTATGAATTGCCCTTACTATGGAATAAAAAATACGGGGTGTTTATTTACATAGTTAAAAGTGGCTGTAAATTAACAGCTCCAGTGGCGCAGATGGATAAGTGCATATCATTGGCTTTTTGATGCGATCGATTATTTACACTAAGTGCAAATACCTATTTACACTATGTTAAAATAGCAGGATTTCTACTATCAAGTATACTACTTGTTGCAAATAGTGGCAATTATCTGCACTTCAGTATTGTAGTACATTATAAAACAGTATGCAATAATAACGTATTGAGTGTAAATTATAATTTTAATTGTAATTATTAAATGGATGCCACATTATTGGTACAATAAAGCCCTCCCTACACCTACCCTAACCCTACCCGATACTTTATGATCAACTTTTTGATTATTTCCTTAATTTTTATCGAAAATAAATGCCTTTACAATGTGATACGAGATTTGAAAAGGGAGAAAGAAAAAAAGTTCGGCAAAAGGCGGGATCGAACCCGAGTCGATCGCGTCAAAAAGCCAATGACAAGCACTTATCCATCTGCACCACTGGAGCTAATGTTTTACAGCCACTTTTAGCTAAATGTAAATATACACTCCGTATTTTTTATTCCATAGTAAGGGCAATTCATACAATACATTTAAACTGAGCTACTTTAATACCATCTCCGAACTTTCTACCACGACTCTGTTGTTCTTCGTCTGGTTCTTCCCTGTATACGTCGATTGACAGATGTCTCGTCCAGTCAGCGGTGAGTAATCCCAAACCAATGGCGCTGTCTCGAACTATACCTACCTCTTCCGATTTGTCTGATTTGTCATTGTGTTTTCTGACTTGTTCATTTGTTTTCTGATTTGTCATTGTGTTTTCTGATTTGTTATTTTGTTTTCGAATTTGTCATAATGTTTTCTGAATTGTTATTTTGTTTTTTAGACTTGCATTTGCGTTTGTAATTTGTTATTTTGTTTTCAGAATTGTGATTTGCTTTGCACTTCTCGGCCACCGTACCTTACATATCTGAGAAACTGTTGAAGCCGCTCACGACTAAAGAAACATCTACCTAACAACACAAGTGGAAAATGTTCGCTTGCATTTCTTTTACTCGCAGCGCTGCTGCTTATCGCAACTGTAGGACGTTGGTGGTAAGTTGTGTATACGAATTCGCATCTGTCAGCATCTTATGCGTGTGTAAGGTGATTATGTGAAAATGTTTGAGACCATCGTGATTTATAAGGAAGCTCTCGTTATAGGGAATTTACCAAGTGAATTGTTGACTAAGGTGGTTAGCTGACAGATCAAGCGTTGTTTACTCGTGTTACTTAACCGCTGTTGCGCAGCGTATAAAAACATCGGCTACATCGGATTACCTAAATGTAAATTTTTTTCTAATTAAACTGACCTTCTATGGAAGAGTGATATTGAAACTCAATTGTACATTACATAGCCTACCAATGTGAGTTGAGTAACAAGGTGATATAACTCCCGCACACTTCTCTGTTACACCTAGAGGTGGCGCTGTAAAAAAAAAAAAGTGAATACCAGTGGCTTCATTTTTTTTTCAGACCAAAGACCCCTTGGATAAAAAGACATTGGCATATTACTGTATTTAGTTACTCAACAAAGCCATGAAAATAATATAGAGTCATCTGGTTTAATTTTACCAAATATATTTAAGGTGGGATGCAATGCGTTTTATTGATGTAATGTCAGTAAACTAAGCATTGAGCATCGCCTGTCTTATGTTGAACTCATCTTTTGCTTTCCTCTCGCTACCCCAGCTGGTGCGATATGCCCAGACAGCAGCTGCCCCTGCCCCTGAGCCAAAAATAAAGACATTTCAGATTTACAGATGGGACCCTGACACACCTGGTGACAAGCCACGCATGCAAACCTATGAGATTGATTTGAACACGTAAGCACCAAATATTTAAACAGAAGTTATAGTCATAAGTGTTTACTTGCTTTGAATAAATAAATAAAATGTGTTATCCTGTTATTTTTTAAGAAGTAAATATCACACATTTTTAATGACATTTTCTCATCCTAGATGTGGTCCAATGGTTCTTGATGCTCTCATCAAAATTAAAAATGAAATGGACCCGACACTCACCTTTAGACGCTCATGTAGAGAGGGTACAAAAATGAAAATTTAAAATAAATAAATGTTACTCTTTTGAGCACAGAATAAAATCAAGTCTGTGTCCTGTTAAAGTAATAGTACACCCAAAAAAGAAAATTCGCTGAAAGTTTACTCAACTTCAGACCATTCAAGATGTAGATGAGTTTGTTTCTTCAACAAAACAGATTTGGAGAAATTTAGCATTACATAACTTGCTCACCAATGGATCCTCTGCAGTGAATGGGTGCCATCAAAATGAGAGTCCAAACCGCTGATTAAAAACATTACAGTAATCAACATGACTCCCGAGTCCAGTTCATCAATTAATGCCTTGTAAAGTGAAAAGCTGTATGTATAAACTCTCATTTTGACAGCCCCCATTCACTGCAGAGGATCCATTGATGAGCAAGTGAAGTGATGTGAAATCTGTTCCGATAAAGAAACAAACTCATCTACATCTTGGATGGCCTGAGGCTAAGTACATTTTTAGCAAATTTACATTTTTGGGTGAACTATTCCTTTACTATGTTATGTAATTTCTCTGTATATAATTTACAGGTATCTGTGGCTCTTGTGCTATGAACATCAACGGGGGCAACACCTTAGCCTGCTTAAACAAAATAGATACAAATACCAGCAAAGTGATGAAGATTTACCCCCTGCCTCACATGTATGTTGTGAAAGATCTTGTCCCTGTGAGTAAACCACAGTTAACTGAAAATCCCAGCGACAACATATGATAATATGAGTATTTATTTGTCAAATAGAATGAACCCAAATTTTCAAACTTATCATACACTCACATTTCTTGTTGTTTTAGGATATGAGCAACTTTTATGCACAGTACAAGTCTATCGAGCCATATTTAAAAAAGAAGGATGAGTCAAAGCAGGGAAAAGAGCAGTACCTCCAGTCTATCGAGGACCGCCAAAAGCTGGTTCGAGACCCTCTTCTGAATATTCTGCTGATTTTGTTAGTGTGAATGATGATTGTGATCTTTGCTAATGATGTTTTAAACACACTCTTTCCCATGCCCATAGGATGGTCTGTATGAATGCATTCTGTGTGCGTGCTGCAGCACTAGTTGTCCTAGTTACTGGTGGAATGGAGACAAGTACCTTGGTCCAGCTGTGCTCATGCAGGTATTTATTTATTTTCCTTATAGGACTGCTTATATATGGACAATAAACAGCCATTTATCATTGTTAATTAATTTTACAATAATAAATCTACCAGTTAGTCTGCGTTAGTCTGGCTCAACAGTGAGTTTTATATCTTTGGCCTCACATCTCTGCTGTTTTGTATCCAATTCTCAGGCATATAGGTGGATGATTGACTCTCGTGATGACTTTACAGAAGAGCGCCTGTCCAAATTACAGGACCCTTTCTCCCTCTACCGCTGTCACACAATAATGAATTGTACAAAGACATGTCCCAAGGTATGCCATCTTCCCATCAAACTGGAAAGCCACATTTTACTTGGATGAACTAGACTCTCTGTTATTGGAAATTAAGGGACAGTTCACCAATGACAAAAAATGTCATTTACTTATCGTCATCATTTCAAAATGATGTGACCTGCTTTCTTCTTTGGAACATTAAAGAAGATATTTTAAAGGATGTTGGTAACCAAACTTTTTTCAGTTCCCATTAACTTCTATTGTATGGACAAAAACTACAATGGCAGTCAATGGGAGCCGAAACTGTTTGGTTGTCATTTTTGGGTGGACTATCCCTTTAAATAAATGTTTGTTTGCAATAGCTTATGTTTTGTGTCTCCCATTTTTTTCTGTATTTCATTTAATCTGTTCTGTCCTCTCTTCTGTTTAGGGACTCAATCCTGGAAAAGCCATAGCAGAAATTAAGAAAATGATGGCAATTTATAAAGAAAATAGATCATCTGCCATCTGACTTGTAAATGCAGGAAATATCATGTACTTGGTTTAAATTATTGTGCAAATGAGTGAATTCAGCATGGAATTTTTGCTTATATGGGATATTTAGTTTTTATATAGTTTAAAAGTAAATCTACAACAAGACCTGCATTTCATTTCTATTTGAACCTGATTGTAGTTGAATGCAGGAACCTGTAAAAATGGCATAATATTTAACATATCATAGCATAATATTTGTCTGTTTGTAGTTTGTCTTTGTGTGGTAGATTCTTACTGTACACTTAATGTTCAATACTTGCTATAAAACATACAAATATCTGCATGTTTAAGATCACACTCATCTGTTTCCAAAATGTGTGCTCTGCATAGGTTAGAAAGACATGTTTTGTAGTGAAGACGTGAAGTGCATGCTTCTGCAGAATAAATTCGATTTAGAGAAGGTAAGTCTCGTGATGTCCTCCAGGTGGCGGTGTTGAATGGGTGAGCTGACAAAAGATCGTAAAGGAAGAAAGAAAGACTATGGCGTCACATTCAGAGAACACACTTGAACCAGAAACTTAGTTTCTGCGGTAATGTGTAATACAAATGATGGCCCTAGAATAAAAGTATGGGCTTTAGCGCTCACCCTGTAGTTCATAGATGGATTCACCAGGTATGGGTAAGTGCTGTTCGCCTGTGCATGTCTATACTGAATAAAATGCAAGTAACTAACGTTAGAGCTGAGCTCGTGAATCAACCGCATCCCATAGGTCTTTTGCTTATTGCAGTTTAATCTTCAATTTAATGTATTTACAAGCTGTAATACAATGAGATGAGATATGAATCAAACTGGATATCTGAGATATCCATGAGATATGAATAAAAGTGGATATCTTACATTTGTTTAGTTGATCTGATTGTTCAATGTCATAAGAGCTGAACGTGTTTTGCTTTCAACATTTTTTTAGGTTGTCATTGTATCTGTAGACTGCTTTGCTTTTGTTTTAGTCATTTGTTCACATTCTCTGTGTATAGGCCTTATTATATATTATATGTATATAAAACACCCATACGAAACGGGCTTAATTTTACACAACACAATGGGCTTCAAACATTTTATTAAAACGTCCAATAACATCACATGTTGTGATGTGATAGTATTGTATAGGTTCTAAATCACTTTGTTTTTAATAACTGATCATTGCTGCATGTCGAAATTATAATGACCTAACACCATTAAATCTCGGACCGCTTACAAAAATCTAATTGTTTGTGATAAAAGTTTGTTGTTTTGTGTTTTCTCACTTTTTTTTTGAAGGAAGCATTTTTTTATGTAAAATCAGCATTTTTTTTTGGTTGTGTAGAAACATCACAAAGCCAGCACATGACCTGAAAAAAAGAGGAAAAAGAAGTTTCAAATCCTCCATGACTTGGATAAACTCCAGACTCCTGCTCTGTATTTTTTTTCAGGTGCTCAATCCGTTCTACATATTTCAGGTGTTCAGCATCATCCTGTGGATGTCAGACAGATACTATTATTATGCTGCTTGTATCCTCATCATATCCTTAATTTCAATTGGTTTGTCTCTTTATGAGATACGTAAGGTATGCAGATATTATTTGAGCATTCAAGTCTTCAGAGCTCTTTTGTTGTATTGTGAATTGAAATAGTAAGTAGATGTTTTTTTTGTCTCTGCAGCAAAGCACCACCCTCCGCCGCATGGCCCGGTTGATAGTGAACGTGACCGTGCGTAGAAACACGGGAGGTGAAGTTGCTTATCAAACGGCAGAAATAGGCAGAATGTTTTTAATGTGGCTTTGTTTTTTGGGCAAACCTGTTTGTTTGTTTTTCCAGAGGAGGAGTGTGTGAGCTCTGAGGAGCTGGTTCCAGGGGACTGTATTGTGATTCCAGCCGAGGGTTTGCTTCTGCCCTGCGATGCCGCCCTGCTGGCAGGGGAGTGCATGGTGAATGAAAGCATGCTGACTGGTGAGAGAATACAGACCGCCTCTGAAATTGTGTATTGCACTAATTTATTGTGCATTAAACATTTTTTTCTGTTCTCACTTTTTGCTCTTCACTCACTGACAGGTGAGAGCATACCAGTGATGAAGACGCCATTGTCTGTGTCTGAAGCCACATACAGTTCAGAGTCTCAACGCAGACACACTTTATTTTGTGGCACACAGCTCATCCAGGCTAAAGGAGGCGGTCCTGCTGGGAATGGGCCCATTGCTGTTGTCACATGCACAGGTGACTTGCATTCACAATACTTTTTTTTTTTTTTATTGTTGTTGATTATACACTACTGTTCAAAAGTTTGGTCTTTGTTTTGAAAATAAATTAATACTGGTGTTGTGCAAGGATGCGCTCAATTGCTCAAAAGTGAGGTAATGTTACAAAAGATAACTATTTCAATAGTATATTCTGTTCTTTTGAACTTTCTAATTTTCTAAGTTTCCACAAACATATTAAGCAGCACTGATTTCAGTATTGATCAAAATAAGAGATGTTTCTTGAGCACCAAATCAGATATTAGAATGAGCTCTGAAGGATTGTGGAACACTGAAGACTGGAGTAATGGCTGCTGAAATTTCAGCTTTGCCATCACTGGAATAAATTATTATTTTTAATATATTAAAAGATATTTTAAAATGTAATATTATTTCCAAATATGACTATTTTTACTGTATTTTTATCAAACGAATGCTGCCCTTGGTGAGCATTAGAGACTTCTTTCAAAAACGTAAAAAAAAAAAAAAAAAATCATGCTGACCCTAATCTTTTGAACGGTAGTGTATGTAGAAGACAGAGAAGCTATAAAATGACTTTCATTATTACTTTCTTTGGTTGTTTTCTCATGTAAACAACTTCACTTTCGTTTATGTTCCTCAGGGTTTTTTACTGCCAAAGGAGACCTTATTAGCTCTATCCTTTACCCTCAGCCATTAGACTTTCGCTTCTACAGGGATGCTATGAAGTTCCTACTATTTCTAGGACTTTTGGGTAAGTTGGGTTATTTGCAAACTTCATGTATGTACAGTATATGATATAATGACATTTGTTTCTTTTAGTCTCATAATGTAGAATATGGGCCTTCATTGATGTGAATGTCTGTATTTCAGCTCTGGTCGGCACTATTTATAGCATTGTGATACTTTCAAAGAGCAATGTAAGTATTTTTAAGCTCCTATCTTACTTTTTTTTTTATTATTATTCTTTTAGTTTTTTCCCTCTGATGTTAGTCAAGGTTTCTTTCACTACAGCAATTTGGATTTAGATGCTTTCATCCTCAATAAAAAGCTGTTGAATTATTAACAAATCATTACACTTTATCTTTTTAATTTCTTTGTGTATCCACTTCTTCTGTCATCAGACAACCTGGCAAGAGCTAGTCATCCGATCTCTGGATATTGTGACAATAATAGTTCCACCTGCTCTTCCGGCTGCTATGACTACAGCCACTATCTATGCCCAGAGTCGGCTGAAGCATCATGGGGTGTTCTGCATCAGCCCACCTCGCATTAATATCTGCGGCAAGATATCACTTTTCTGTTTTGATAAGGTGAGAGAACAAGGTTTCGGGAGATCCTTTGATGGGAACAATCTTTATTGGTTCATTAAAAATGCTGTGATGATTCATATCTTGAAGATGGATAGTTAAACTCAGGTATATTAAGATTAAATTTATAATTTGTATATAACTTTAAACTAATCTTATATTTGGCTATTCAAAGCCTAAGTTAAAATAAACTTTGTTTGATTACTCGGTGCATATGTTCTGTTTGTGTAATGATTACATCATCAGTGCCCTGGGCTAGACCAATAGACAATTTATTTCCTTTATGGCCAGTTTGTGACAACTCCCCATGCTACTTCCTTTTACACACAATCTAGTTAACATGGATAGGTTTATTGACTAGATTATTAACCTTGGATTGCTTGCATTATGAAATCAATTATAAATGTCAGGTTCTCTTTTTTTCCATAATCTATCTATAAGTGCATATATTTTAACATTTATTTTTATAAATTATAATTATTATTTTTTCTATAATTCTCATCCATATTCATTTCACACTGCACAATATTGGTTCTAGTGAACAAAAACATTATGCAAATCATTTAAAATGACTAAATCTTTTAAAATAAACTATAATCACTAAGAAGTTCATATTTTATGGTAGGTAAAATGTCATTAAAATTAATTAAAAAAAAGGGTGGTTTTCCAAAGCAAAAATCTTTCCACCCTTTCCACCAAGAAAAAAAAAAGATTTTTTAAATTCTAAAGTCATCCCTTCATTATTAACCATATTATTGCCATCTTGCATGCAGCATGTGCTTTCAAAGCGAAGAAAATGGGTTTGTTAGAGGTTACATTGTGCAACAGAGGGTTAGCCATGACCGATAAAGATCTCTGCTGCTGTCTTGCTAAATATCAAGATCCTGTCAAGTGAACGAGAACTCCCTATATGTGCTCCAGTCAAACATCCTCATCACACTGTATAGATACTGTATATATTTTGTGTCAACGACGACTGCTCAAGTCATTTGTTTATAAAGGTGTTTCTGTTGATCTTACAGTGTTTTTTTTAATGGCATTTTAAAATGAAGTTAGACAGTCAGACAAAAGATGGCAAAGTTTCTATGTATTGCAATTAAAAACTGATTGAATGTGATCGTTTCAGACTGGCACTCTTACGGAGGAGGGTCTGGATGTGTGGGGCATAATGGAAGTGAGTGGAGCAGTATTTGGTGAGCTGGTCCCTGACCCTCTCTTTCTTCCTCCTGGACTGATGCTCTCTGCGCTTGCCTCCTGCCATTCTTTGGCTTTGCTGGGGGGTCAAGCTCTCGGAGACCCACTAGAGCTCAAAATGATAGAATCCACTGGATGGGTAATGACTGGTTTCTCAGAGTGTTTCATGATTTTAAAGAGATAGTTCAGCAAAAAATGTAAATTCTTTCATTATCTACTCATCTTCATGTCCTTCCAAACCTATAAGACTTAATTTCTTCGGTGGAACATAAAAGAAGATATTCTGAGAAATATCTGTGTTTTTTGTCCATACAATGGACGTCAATGGTAACTTGCTGTTCAGAATGAGAGGTTGAGCAGAATGTTCACGCTGCTCTTTCCAATACATTGAAAGTGAACAGTGACCAAGGGCTGTCAAACTTCAAAAGTGACAAAAAACAGCATTAAGGTAACTTCTCCTTTTGGGTTCCACTGAACAAATAAAGTTATACGGGTTTGGAACAACATGATGGATAGTAAATAATTTTAGTGATTTGCATCTCATTTCTTTAAGTCTTGTACATATGACAGATATATGAATCGGTGTTTTGTTTAATTGATTTTATGGCAACTTTTATCCTGTTGCCATCTTGCGTGCAAATGACAGGAACTGACTGAGCCGGAGAATGAGATGGGACTTGATTCTGAATTTGGCAAACACAGAGTACTAGCAGTGATGAGACCTCCTGTATCTGAGCACCCGTCACAAGGAAATGTAAGTTGATTCATATACAGAACAAGAAAATGGTCATTGGATGTGAAAACACAAGGAAATGACTTGAACCTTTGGGGCTTGATTATGAATTAAGCGGATCGTTTACCCAAAAATGAAAATCATTTACTCACCTTCATGTTGTTCCAAACCTGAGTGACTTTCTCTCTTCTGTATAACACAAAAGAAGATATTTTGAAAAAATGTTTCAACTTTTTTTTGTCCATACAATTCAAAGTCAATGGTGTCTAGTGCTGTTTGGACCCCAACGTTCTTCAAAAAACCTTTTGTGTTTTACAGAAGAAAGAAAGT